TGCGCCAGCGCAGCATTCTTTCAGCGGCTCAAGTTCTGTTTCGTTTGAATGACAGTTTGCTTGCCCCGAGTCTTCAGTTTGCGACCCAGTCCAAGTTCGTTCTCCATGTTCTTGATTTCCTGGCTACGCAAACACCACAGAGGCAGCAGCGTGAACCGCAACCCCTCTCCCCCCTCACCTTCCTTCCTCCCCCCATCTGGATTCACACCGTTTCTAGCTGTCACCCCAATCTCGACGGTGTGACAGTCGACGTTGGGCACTAGGACGACGAGGCCATCAAAACATAGTCGGAGGCACCAGTTTCTGTGTCTGTACAGTCAGATGACAGTTTCCTTCCCCATCTATCCTCCGCCACCCTCGTTCTAAAGCAATCGAGAACGCACACGTCACATGCAGTCGGGTCTGATTAGTAGGTATGCCCTGCAATATCAAGCGGTATCGTATCCTCGTGTCCTGTTCATCGGGTCTGAATGTATGCCCTCTAGATGTTTGGAGCTTGCAGCAGGGGGGTAACCCTCAGAAGGGTCACGTCGTGTCCCCGTGGTTGGCCTCCGCCTCTGCAGTCGCTCCCTGCTGTAGGCACCAGCACGAATCTCAGTCCCCCTCCCCCGTGGACCTCCGCTCCCCCCCCCCCTCCCAGTCCCCCCCTCGGTGCTCGGACACAGCCAGGTGGGGTTTCTGGGACGTGCTCCAGCTCTCCCATCGTCTTGCCCCGCAGTTGCCCTGTCACTGCGTGGTGCACAAGGGTGGTACACGACGCTCCTGGCCCCACCCACGGGGTCAAGTCGCCGCTGAGCCACATCACGTCGAGCGGACTCCACCTTCCCTCCCTTCCCTTCTCCTCCTCGAGTCCTTGCACACTTTCTTCCAGTTCAGGGGCGTACTCCTTCATTGCCTTCTTTGTGCACTGGCCCCTGAAGCATCTCGTCCGCGAACTGTTGTTTGTACACGACACGAGGCCACGACCTCGCGCGCCCTGCCCAAAATGGCGCACGGGCACACCCGTGGAGCCCTTGGTGCCCTCAGGGCCTCGTGCGGGGTGCTCTGGAGCTCTTTGGGGTCTCTTCGGAAATCCTGGGGGCGCCTTGGGCCAGGGGCACTTCTAGCGACACCCCGCCTTTCCTCCCCCATCCCCCCCCCCCCGCTCGGTTCCGCGGCGGCCGTGGCGGCGACGTCGCGCGGCGCTGGCGACGACCCCGACGTCCGTCCAAGTTGCCCCCAGGGGCTCATTTCGACTCCTCCGACTCGACCCCGATTCGGTTTCGACCGATTCCGATTCGATTCGACTTCGGATTCCGATCTGGATTTCGGCTGTTCAATGGGGGCTTTACTAGACTGCCGATGTCCGCCGGTTCGATTTCACCCGTCTTGGCTGCCGATCTCCTCCAATCCGATTCGTTTCGATCGCCGATCCGATTCATCGGTTCGATTGTCTAGGATATCCTGCCCCCCTCCACATCAGCCCCTCGAGGGAGTTCATCCACGGCGATGGGCACCTAAGTGGAACCCAAAGGCTAAACATGGGCGCACGCGCTGAAAAGAGACCCTGAAGAGACGAGGGAAGAGAGGCACGAAGACAGAGAGAGAGAGAGGGAGCGAGGGAACATGAAGGACAGAGAAGCAGACAAAGTGTGCCCCCCCCAAGCTCTTGCTCCAGCGCCCCCTGACGCGATCTCCCGCGGCTCAGCTCCCTCCCCCTCGCCCTCTGTTGCCCGTTGGCATCGCTCGGACGTGTGCACTTCTATCCTCGGCGATGCACATCGAGGAGCATCACGAGTCACCTTGCAAAACAACAGATGCGCACGAACTGGAATCACGCACGTGGACTGGACGTCCGAGCGATGGCGAGTGCTACAGTCAAGACGCTGAAATAAGGAACAGTTTGGGTTCGGAAGGGGCTCGATGTTCCTCAGGTTCCTCCAGTGCTGTTCCTCTTGCCCTCCTGGGGCACGGAAGCGCTCACAGGGCCAAGAGGGGGCTTCGTTTCCTATTGCGAAGGCTTTACGGCCGGTGCCGCCGACCCTGAATGGCGACGACGACGACGACGACGACGACGACGACGACGAGCGCTCTTGGGGGCCTCTTGGGGGTAGTTTGTGGGCCTCTTGGGAAGATCTTAGGGGCCGCTTGGAAGCCTCGTGGGGGCCTCTTGGGGCTTCCTGGGGGTCTCTTGGAGGGGGCCTGGGACGTCTTGGAGGCTTCTTGGACGGTCTTGGGGCTGTCTTGGGCGTTTTCGGCAGATCTTTGGGCGACTCGGGGCCCTCTTGGGCCGTCTCGGGGGCCATCTTGGGCATTCGGACCTCATTTGGAGTGTTTTCGAGGTTTCTAGGCCGCCCGAGGAAAAACGAATCTGCCCCCCCACCCCCCCCCCCCCCACCCCCCCCGGGACCCCCCCCCCCCCCCCCCCTGGGGAAGGGATCAAAGGGAAGGGGCTTCCCTTCGACTCGATTACGACACTGCTAGATTTTTCTCTCGCCCACGAGCTTGAGAAGGAATCTGCAGGGAAAGGGGACGACGGAGGCGACGACCGACGGAGACGACGACTCGAACAGCCAAGCCCCTCGCACACGCCGACAGGGTCGGCGGATTTAAGCGTTCCTTCTTTCCGCGGCCCGACTGCAGCCCCTCCGGCCGCGAGGCGCTGGGGGACCAGCTGCGCCTGGGCCTGGAGGCCGCCCGCCTCCCGGAGGGCGGGGGTGGCCCGTCGTGCCTCCCGCCGCCGGGGGGGGCCGCCCCCCACGGGTGTCGGGGCTCGAGAGGCGGTGGTCCATGCAGGCGGGGGTCGGTCAGCAGGGCCTGATACAGGCGGCCCGGATTGGTAGGTCGACCCTGCCAAATCAAGGGTGCCTTTGTGTCCTGTGTCTCGCGACCCTTTGTTTGGCTCTCCCGGATGTACCACAAACGGCAACCATCGTTGCACATGGGAAAAAAAGAAAATTCAAAAATGCAACAGCAAACAAAAATATAATAAATGTACATAAAAATATCAATTATATAAACATATAATAATAACACCATAGTTGTTTCCCGACCTTCTTTGGTTGGATATTCGTTTTGAATGAGCACCGTGGTCGCCTCCTTCTCCCCCCCCCCACCTCCCGCGGAAGGGGGAGGGGGAGGAGGAGGAGGAAACGGAGGAGGAAGAGGAGGAGGAGGAGGGAGGATGAGGGAGGAGAGAGGAAGGAGGAGAGAGCAGGGAGGAGGAGGCAGGATGAGGAGGCTCGCGTGCTGCCAGCACGGTTGCGTGGCGACGACGACGGCGACTGCCGCGGTGACGACGTTGACGGCGACGACGGCGACGGCGACGGCCATGGCGACGGCGAGGGCGATGACGACGACGATGTTGGAGGATCGAGGTTTGACGTTGTCTGTTTTTTTGGGGATGGCCCATCTCATCGCCACGGTCGACCTCAGCTCGAAAAATAGTTTGTTCGATCGGATGTGCAGATCCGTTATGCTAATTGATTTGTGCCCTACTTGCCCCACTTGGTCCCACTTGGTCCCACTTGCCCCACTTGGGCAAGCGGGGGTCAAGTGGAGCCTCCAATTCCAGGCAAGAGGGGCCAACTGGCCCCCTTAATTCTTCGAGCTTGCGCGCGAGAGGGGCAAGTGGGGCAAGTGGGACACATTTCAAGTAGCTGTGCCCGTCGAGGTCTTGCTCAGGTGCCCGCCCCCCCCCCCTGGAGCACCTATGGCTTATGGGGGCCGTGTCGCACAGGTGGCTCGCCCAAGCGGTGACGAGCATGAGGAGAAGGAGCGTTTCGCTTGAGGCACCCCCGCACATTGGTTTTGTTGCTGACGCCGTTGGGGGCATCTAGGGCAAGTGGGCCAAGTGGGGCGCACTTCAAGACGCGGTGCCCGCCCCTGTCTCGCACAGATACCCAATCCCCCGGGGGCCGTGCCACACGGCGACACCAAATGGGATAGAGTCGCGCAGGTGCCACCACCTGTGGGGGCCGACTCGTCGCACCCTCGGCGCGCCGCCGACCTGTCTGGATGAGGCTGGGGTGTCCTCATTTTCCTCCTCCTCTTCCTCCTCCTCCTCCTCCTCCTCCTCCTCCTCCTCCTCCTCCTCCTCCTCCTCCTCTGGGGAGGGTGTTGGGGCCCTGTTCTCGTCGTCTTGGGGGCGTCCACCAGCGCAGGGGGCGGCCTCCCAAGGCCAAGTTTTGCTTATGATACCCCCCGTAGGAGCCTATGTTTTTTCACCTACACCCCCTGGTCAAAATGCTTCTCCTGGCGCCCAAAGTGGCTGCTGAACTTCGTTATCTCGCGCCCTGCATGGAAACGCCATTGAATGCGAATGGGCCCAAGCCAGCCTGCAAAAGAAGCCCCGCCAGCACACCTTAAAACATGCACACGCGTTGCATAAATTACGCATGTAAATTCACGTGCTCACGGAAGGAGGAGGAAGTGTGCCTCTAGAGGGGCTTTCAATTGAGACTAGGGCCTAGGGCATCATGTCCCAGCGTGAACATCAGCCCGCCTCGAGGCTTCGGGGAACTGTCATGGGAGCTCGTTGGGTTATCTTGGGAGCTGTCTTTGGAGCTGTCTTGGGAGCTGTCTTGGGAGCTGTCTTGGGAGCTGTCTTTGGAGCTGTCTTGGAAACATCGCAAAGCTCTAGGGGCTGTCTTGGGAGCTCGTCGGGTTGTTCATGGAGGCTGCCGGGCGCAGTGGAAGCGCTGGGACGTTCAGGCGAGCGTTCGGCCTTTTCTTGCGCCGATGTTTTAGGAGTTTGGGCGATAGAAAGCTTAGGATTTGCCAGGCCCCTCCAGCTCACGCATGCATCCTCGTCGTTCCCCGTGCCGCGTTGCCGATTTGGCTCCGATGTATACGCGCGCGGCCGCTGGGTTCGGCCAGCGGCGATCCAGGTCCATGCGGCATCCATCCATGGGCCATGGACGAGGCTGCCTTGTACCTTGGGCTTGGTCGGTTGCCCAGTGCTGATCCGCCAGAGGATGGCGATGCGCAGGGATCTCCACGTCAGGGTGACGGAGGCCCAGGTGCATTTTGCATCGGCGCGTTGCTCGATGCCGCGAACGTCGCAGGTCAGTCTGCGAGGCGGCGGCTCGATGCATTCACTGGCGAGAGTTTCCGCGGGGCTGGTCACATGCGGTATTTGACGAAGTGCAGGGAGGCCAGCAGGGCGCAGAGGAGGGAGCAGGATATCGCGCAGGACTCAGAGGCCTTGAGCAGCGCGTGGAACCACGAACGATTGCACATCGGTGACAAAGTTGGTGAAGCATCGGGTGTAGAAGATGGCGCGCATCCGAACACGTGGAGTTTACCAGCGGTTCTTAGTGCAGCGTGGAAGCAGCTGGGCAGCAACAAGGTCGTGCGTTTCGGCGTGGACGGCATGTCGCGGTCGCTGGGCGTCCTCACATGCGTGGCCGCGGCGATCTACGAGGAGCAGGTTGACTTCGTATCCGAGCGGGTGGAGGAGATGAAGGCCCAGAAGGTGTGTCCTGTCATTTTCAAGTTCTACGACTGCACGCCATTGCGGCTCGCGTTCGGACAGCTACAATCTCAGTTGTACCCGTGCGCCAGGTACTTGATTTGCAAAGATGGCGAATGAAAGAGCTTGAAGCTGGAAGATTATTTGAAGGAGCGGCCCCGCCACGCAGGTGCGTTACGTTCTGGCGTGGTTGAGATGCTTGCGCAGGGCGCGATGTGCTGCCACGTCGACCCAGGCTCACACGAGCTGTCTGGCTTTCGCGTGTTCTGCCGGCCCAAGATTCTCCAAGCGGGCAATGCAGATTGCATATACCGTGCCACGGAAGATGAGATTCCATCATTCTCGGCGGAGGGTCTGCAGCACTTGTGCCAGGCATGCCCGTACGTCATCTTGCACGAGGCCCCCGACGCTCACAGCGCGAACATCCGCAAGAAGGCGAAGACTAGCGAGGTGATCCCAAAGAACTGTTTGCACGTCGGTGCCAGTTGCGACGTGCATCAAGCCCATCGGATGATCGAGATGAAGGAGAAAAAAGTCATCGGAAACCTTCATGCGATCGCTGTGTCGTGCAGCCATCCAGCTTTCCAAAACAGACTTCAAGATGCTCTCCGCAAGGTCATCGACAGACTGGAGTACACGCGCGGGGAGCCAGATGAAGCAGTCCTTCGGCGTAACCGCAAGTTGGCGAATCACACCTTGTTGCGCCGCAAGACCGCGATCCTCGATGATGCCATGGATGGCGAGCGGGACTACGACATGGCCGTCGACACGTTTCTTTCGTTCTGGAATTCGGATTGGCGTTTGTGCCGAGTTGGTCACGTGTGCCGCGGGTGTTGCGCAGGTCCTGAGGATGCGAAGCATCGCATGTTCTCCGCAGCGATGTCTGTGGATTTGCTCCAGAGTAGGGATTGCGACTTGCCGAGCCTGGACGACTGGGGGTCTTGCGGTCGTGCTTGCGGTCTTACCAGCATTGGACTCTTGTGCCACAATATCCTTTCTGAATGCTTTGGCGTTGCAATGCCCGACTGGCAGTCCATGTTGCCGCCGCGGGAGGACGCCGATAACGATCAGGACGACAACAAAGTGATGGCCAGGCTCAAGGTTCGAAAGAAGGCGTGGAGACCGAAGTGCACTTTCGAGGACCCAGAGGCGAGGAGGAAGATCTTGCTCATGAATTGGATGGCAGCCCCAGTGGAGAAGCTGATGGCCAACTTGCAGTACCTCGACAGGGCGGGCAAGGGGCTCTACGACGTGTGCGTGAACAACGAGTGGAACCCTATATTGGTTTGCAAGCAGCGGTTGACCCAGCTTGTCCGGGAGGGCGCCGACGGCGACTTGGGCCCTCTCTTCGAGTCCACGCCGTTCGTAGACCACAGCGCGTTGCTGGAGCAGGTCCGTCTCCTGGGAACCGACTTGGGGGCACAGGTGATGCGGGGTCGAATGGCCCCTTCTCTGCAGACGGTCGAGCGCGGTGATTTTGTTGCCCGGGGCCCGCCGATCGGCTGATCTGTTTCTCCTCCTGCTCCCCCGCTACCTCTACTGCTTCCTCCTCCTCCCCCTCCTCCTCCTCCTCCTCGTCCTCCTCCCCCTCGTCCCCCTTGAGCCCCCGAAGTCGAACCTGTGGAGACCCATTCGAAGTTCGGCCTCTTGCGGCCTGACCCCGAGGACCTGGGCGACGGGGCGGGGGGCGAGCAGGGGGAGAGAATCGGTCGGGGAGCGGAGGGGGAGGAGGTGCAGGAGGAGGTCGATGTGAATGAGGAGGAGAAGATGGCTGAGGACGAAAGGGGTGATGAGGAGGAGAGGCAGGAGGAGAGTGACGACCTTTTCTCTCGCCACCTTCTCGCTACAGGCCACTTGGCGCTTCCTGAAGTACGACACCTACCCCTACCTCTTCGCGCGGTGGGCCCACCCAGCCGCGGACCCTGCGTGCCGAGACCAGATCCCTCAGCATTTATTCGGCCTCAAGCCTTGCTGTCGCGACCAAGGATTTTCGGAGAAAGTCTACGAGCTGCTCGGCACTCCCGACGCCATGGTGGCCTCGGAGGACTTCAAGCTCGCGCTGCGCGCGTGGGCCATCAATTATAAGTTCACGGACATGTTCAGCGAGCGTCTGTTGGCGAAGGTGCGACAGTCTGTCGGCTACTCCGACGCCGACGTGGACGTCGAGAGAATATGTTGCAGCGGATTCCTCTCCCAGGTGATGACGGAGCATTCCCAGCGCGGCGGGGCCGACCCCCGCGCCCCTACCAGGACTCAGCTCCTGGAGGATGGGGTTCACCTCAGACGCAGGCGGGATCTGAAGAGTTCGAAGCCCAGAAGTGCCTTCGTGAACTGGATGTGCAAGCAGGAGGCGGATCGCAAGAGCAAGAAGATCAAGCTCGACAAGGAGCAATATCACACGTGGCAGTTGGAGAAGAGAAACGAATTTTTCGAGTTGTCCAGGGACAGGTTGTTGATCGAGGAAGGGGAGGCCAAGGAGGCTCACGATGCGAAGATGTCAGCAGTGGAGGAGGCCTCGGAGAGCTTCTGGGCGCTGAAACCAGCGAGTGCGATAGAGTCCATCATCGGATTGATCGGGGACGTGCGCACCCCCTACAGGGCCGCCGCGTTCGACGCCCGCATCCGTCGGAAGCTCGGCATGGCCACTGATGCCAAGGCCCCAGGCTTCACGAAGTACGTCGAGGAGTTCCGCGCCCCCCAGCGCTCGCAGATGTTTGTCGAGGGGCGCAACGCCACTGGCGACCAGGTCTTCAAGGTCAAGATGCCATGCCCACTGGTGCATCCTGGCTTTTGCGTGACCGACGACGCCGCGGTCGCCGTCGGCGCGAGGTCTTGCGCCGACCAGCTCTGCAAGATAGCTGGGGATATCGGAGGGCAGTTCATGCACTTGCGTTTCCGTGCTGGCCCTGACTGGCTGTTGAGCTCTTGGGCGGCTGTTGCACATAAGCGAGGGGCTTCGCCGAGGATCGTGATGTTGGCGGCGTGCGCCCTCGACGAGGACACCTCCACGCTGGCCATCGAGCAGAACCAGGACTTGTGCTTCGAGTACGTCCCGGGCGTCACCTTCATGGGGTGCTTCTTTAGGCAGGCCCCGCGAGACAGCGACGTCGAGGTCTACTGGAGCCTCGCGCCCATTGACTTGGCGGCGCCGCTGCAGCGGTCTGCGTCTCAGGTCGCGCTCCGACCTGACTGGAGAGCATTCGTCCAGGTCGGGGAGAACAGACTATATCCGCCTGAACGAGTTTTTCGGGACCCCGTTGCCGATGGCAAGAAAAAGGACATGATGTCAGGCCTGAGGTCAGCGCTCGATTTGCCGAAGCGCTGGCGAGCTGATGCTGCAGGAGTTCGGCTTCTGAAACCAGCGGGGCTTGCCGAGGGCGAGTCGACAGGGGCAGACTCGAGCGATCGCATTGCAGGCGATGGCGACGACGGAGATGGAGGCGGCGACGGGGACTTCGGAGACGGCGGCGGCGGAGCAGTGCCCGGCGGCGTGCCAGCACCAGGCGCAGGAGAGGAGCTACCTGCACCTCCGCCGCCTCCTCCAGTTGGCGGACCTGGCGGCGGGCTGCCTTGGACCCGCTGGCAGATCGCGGGCTACGGACGCATCGTCTTTGATGCGGCTGGCGGGTCGCTAGGTGCGCATTGCTCTGTGCATGGCGCCCTTTGCAGAGCGAACAAAGTACTGAAGAAGAAACCTCTTGGCTTTCTTGTTGCATTTTTACAATATCCTCATTTGCACGCCGAGTGCAGGACGAAGGATGATCATTCACGTGCCAAGGCAGCGCTGATGAGCGCGGCGTGCTTCCCAGCGCGGTCCGACGGGCGGCAATGGCTCGCTGACCGCGCAGCTGCGTTCGTTGATTTGATGGACCTGGAGCGGCCACATCACCCGCCAGGTTCGTTTGATGAGCCAGACGTTGTAAAGTAGACAGTCTGGGCGGGGTCTGTGATGCATGTCTGCGTTTCTGTTGCTGGAGGTGCACATCTGCAGAGAAGTTGGATTATCAGTAATCTGTCTCGTTGCCAGAAGTGAGTGCCAGGAAACAGGGAAACGATTTGTTCTTGCAGCGTTTCTTGTTCGCTCACCTTGTCCACGTTGCCGTCGCCGTATTCGTCATCTGAGCCTTTCGGTTAATGCCGCTGCTGGCGGCCCGCCAGCGAGCCCCCATGACCGCCCCAGGGCTACCCATGGGCCCATGGGGACTCTCAGGTGCTCCTTTGGGCGACTCATGGGGCCTCTTCGGCTCGCGCTTGGGCTACTGATGGGACTGAGGGGGCCTCTTGGGAATCATCGTAGGGCAACGTATTGGGCATCTGGGGCGCCTCTCGGCACACTGCGGGGCTCATGCGCATTCAGATGGGTTATCTTGGGTGCGCGCTCGGGCCTGCGGGCCGATGATGGGGGCTGCTGGTCTAGGGCCCGAAACGTCGAGAGGGGTTGGCACGGCGGGGAGGTGCATGGGGGGCGCTGCAGGGGCACGCGCCGGAGCGCGATAATGGGCGGGGACGAAGAGGGAATGGGGTGGAGGTGCGGAAGAGAAGGCGGAGGGCGCGCGTCGGGGGGCGAGTTGAGCAGGTCGCGGAGGCGGAGGGAGAGCGGAGGTGGGGAGGGGGAGGGGGGAGTTGGAGGAGGAAGAGGAGGAAGAGTAGGGGAGTCTTTGGATTGCGCCCGCATCTAAGCGTGTCATGGGCGGCGTTGCCGCGTGGCTATCAGCGACCCCCCTGCTCGTTTGCCTCAGGTGGCCGTCGCGAGCTCTCTCGGCTCCAGAGACCATGTGAGCATCCAGCCATGCCTCCCACAGGTAGGGCCACATGTCAGCCTGAGTCCAAGCGTGATCGGGCGCTGGCATTCGACCAGGCGCGCGCGAACGCCTTTGGTGCGTCGCCTTCGGCGGGGCAGGCGGCGGGCTCCCAGGGCGCCGAGGGCGCGGGCGAGGGCGCGCCCGCCAGGGCGCGCAAGCGCGGCAGGTACCGCGATCAGCCGCCGAAGGTTTCGCATCAGCCCATCGCTCCAGCAGGAGAGGGCGGCGGCGGCCAGCAGCCATCGGCGGGCGCGGATGCTCTCCAGCGGCGGTCGGAGGGCGTCGGCGAAGCCCGACCTGCCTTCGCCTTGCCAGACTCTGTCGCATCCTTTGCATGCCAGAAGCCAGGGGGCGTTGAGCGGCGCACAGAGAATATCTTAGATCGTTCCGCTAGTCAGCTCAAGTGCAAGGCCGCAGTCGATAGCCTAGTCAATCGCATCATCAGGGTGGCCACTGAGTGGGGCGAGAAGACGAAGGCGAATATGGAGACCTCGCCCGACGTGGCGGAGCCAGATGCAGCGGGTGGCGCCCCCGACCCCGTCGTTGCCATGGATGGTGGCGCTCCCTCCCCAGACCTCGCCGACGCCACGGGCAGGCCAGCGGACCGCGAGCCCGTTTCGGCGGCAGCCGTGCCTCAGGCGACGAGCAGCGGCAGCGCTAGCGCAAGCGGTGCCATCCTTCTTGCGAGGCAGTTGCCCGTCACCAGCATGTTAGCGTCCGCGCCAAGGGCGCCGCCGATGAAACGCCTGACCACGCCCATGCAGGCAGCTTGCAGCTTGCAGGCGACGATCAACAAGACCCTAAATGATGCCATCAGCGAGGCGGAGTTGGATGCGCTAGGCGGTGAGCTTTTCCCTGATGAGGCTGAGGCGGCATCGGCGCCACTTGAGGTCCCTGGTGAGGCCAGGGCGGCATCGGCGCCACTTGAGGTGTCACCTCCTGCGCCGCCGCCGCCGCGCGACGTCGTGCCCCCGGCCTCGCCGAAGGACTTCGGCGATGGAACGGCAAGCCAGCCATTGGGACAGTTCACCAGGGACTTGGGCGTGACTGGTTCTCAGTTCGGGATTGACCCAGCCATGTTCGCGCCCAGCCCTGAGCCAGGGAGGCGGCCCGCGATGTCGGTGCTGGACAGCATCTTGGCTGGCGGCGTCGGCGGCAGCGTCGCGGGCGAGGTCGCGGCGGGCGGCATCGCGTTGCCGGAGGATTGGGGGGGGCTCACCGGCGGCGGCGCTGAGGCCGACGACGGCGATCGCCATGCCGACGGCGGCCAGGCTCCCAGAGGGGCAACCGCCATCTGCCCCAGACAAGATTTTGCTTCACATTTGCAAACCACCGAGGGTTTTGTCAATTTCGAAAATATCATCAGTCATTTATTTGAATTAGGTTTTGTTTAGATAATTATTTATTTCTTAGCGTATCCGCTGATAAGTTCTGATAGTTTCGATTTGGCGTTTACGTGTGTTTTGTTGTGTAAATAATAGACACTGATAAGTTCTGATAGTTTCGTTTCTTGTTTTTAATTATTTTTAAATTATATGTTGGACATATATTTTTTAATTTCCTCTGTTCGTCGTTGGTTTGCTTTTGGGGTCCCTCAGGCAAGCGCCAGCGCAGCCGCTGCTACCGACCTCGTCCAGGAGATCCCCCAGGGTGGCGCGGCCGTTCGGCAGCTGGGCCCGTGTCCGAGTTCGCCTGCGAGTTTGCCCGCATTTGTGTCTTGGAGGCCGACCACTAAGATGCAGGAGCAAATTGTCTGGTGGCACGATTGCCTCGGGCCTACGGCCGAAGTCCAATTCGTCCACGGTCTGCGCCGTTTGGAATCTGTATTGCCAGAGAAGACTATTTCGAAATGGTCCTTGTTCGCTGGGACGGGCATCTCCACGAAGATCCAGAGGGCTTTCGGCATCGTATGGATGAACCGCTATTGCGTTGCCATCCGCTTCGACGACGCCCTGTACTGCGAGCTGGACAAGGACAAGCAGGCCTTCTTGACCCAGCAGTTCGCTCCCAAGTTCTTGGTGGCTGACGCCGGGGCGCTGAACAGGCACGTGGCTGTGAATGCCGCCAAGGAGGGGGGGGCATCAGAAGTGTTGCCTTTCTGCGGCGTATTGGATGCGGGTTTCCCTTGCTCGTCTCGAACCCCGTTGAGCGTCAACAGTTCACTGAACGCAAACTGCGTCCAAGACAGGCGGGCCGCCACTGGTGAAGGTTTCGGCGCTGTGCACGACGCGGCGCAGACGCACTACCCTGCCATGATATGCTTGGAGTGCGTGGTTCAGTTATCTCAGAAGCCTGATGCAGAGAAGCCTTCGGACGCCGAGCACATCTGCCAGGAGTTGCGCAGGATGGGCTACTGGACGATCAACCAGCGCATTCAAGCCACTGACTGGGGCAGCCCACTTCCAAGGGAGAGGCTGTACTGGGCGGCGCTGTTGAACCTTGGGGGCAAGGGCAGGGAGCCCGACCAGTACTTCTTGAAGATGCTGAACTCCTTCAAGACGGGCTCTCAGATGTCCTTGGAGGAGTGCTTCACTTGGTGCGACGAGATTCGCGAGGCGGAGGCGACCCAGTTGAATGTCAGGACGTACCAGAGCATGCCCGTGCGCGTCTCCAAGTCGGGTAAGACGATCCTTGATTGGAAGGTCGACCACAAGAGGCTCTTCGAGGCGAACTCATTGGCCTGGCCGCTGGACTTGACTACTACGGACGGCGGCGTGCAGCTTCTCGGTACCACTCTCATGCCTGGAGGCATGTTCCCCCGCGAAGCAGAGGTGGCTTACTTGGCACACGCGCTGTTTCCACCGAAGCATCGCGATGAGTGCGCTTTCATGGACATCAATCCCAACACCACCAGGATCTTCGGTCAGTACGTTGACGAAGACACGTTCATGCTGAAGGGCACGGACCGCAAGGGTGACGACGCCGTCAATGGGCCGTGGCGCGCAGCCCCCCCGACCTTGACGGGGAGCATGCAGCTACTCGTTCGCATCACGTCCAACGGCAAGAGCACGTTGCGCTTGGCGGACGTCTTCGAGCTCATGCGCCTGATTGGCTGGTTCGATTCGGATTGGGTTTGCGACTGCAGCGAGGAGCGCCTGACGACGGACCAGATGGACGTCATCTCGAACATGTCTGGGAACGCCTTCAGCCTTTGGCATTACGGGCCATGGTGGGCAGCCATGGTGAGCACGTACGGCATGTACGCCAAGCTCTACGGCGACGACGACGAGGAGGTCGGGGGCACGGCGACTCCCGAGGGCAATCGCCTCGCCAGCGACGGGAGTGCTCTCAGTGTCTCGTCGGATTCCGATTAGACCTAGGCTGTGCCTCCGGGGGTTCCCAGGGGCGTTCGCGGCGTGCAGGCGTGAACATAGTTTTGTTGTGTAGTCGCAGACAGATCTCAGCGTCGTTTTCGCATCCCTGGTAGCCAGGACATTCCGTTGGTGAGCTCTTCTTCGTTGATGATCGTTGATGCTTGGCGAGGGGGATGGGGGGGCTTTGACGTGCCCCTCCACTTCGGCCCATTCGCGATTTGGGATCCCGCAAACAGCTTTAGAAAAACAGTGGGAGAAGGGAGACGGAAAATGAGGATGAGGAGGGGGGGGGAGCACCAGGGGGATTAGGATGAGGGGATTGGAGGAGGGGCAATCGTGGGGGCAGCAGCAAGTGAGCACACTGACTGAAGAACTTGCGTGCTTGCGACAACAGCTGCACAACATTTGATGAACCCTCTCGCATTCTAAAGGGGGGTCAAGGAGGGTAGGAGGGAGGAGGACGACGAAGCGGAGGGCCTCACAAGGCTCTCTCCGATGCATCCGTGGGTCTTTCGCATCGCCCTCGCCTCTCGGCTTCAACGAGTGTCTGCCTCGCTTGCTCGTTCCCGTCCTCGATCCCCCCCGGCGCCGCCGTCGCCCTCTTGCGGTCGTCGATCGTCGCCCGAGCAGTGGAGGGTTCGGGGTTTGCAGTGCCGCCTCTCTGCCTTCTCTTTGCCGCCGCGCCCCGCCCCTTGGACGACGTGGCGGGCAAGGGCGTCGGAGGACCGTCGCCCGGAGCGCCGACCCTCGCGAGCGCGGGGGGGGGTGCAGGCGGTTTGGCGCAGCGGGGCGAGTGGCAAAGTCTGGGGGCAGGATGATGAGGAGAAGGGGGATGGTGGTGCTTCAGGCGAACAGGGCAGGAGGAGAAGAGAGGGGGAGTGATGTGGATGGAGGAGCTTCGGACTAGCCTTAGCAACTTGCCGCGATGCGTTGCCATTCCTTGCCGCCCATGTCTTGCAGGCCTTTTCTCCGTGCTATCAATCCCTCAAGAATGTCTCGAGAGGCCTCCGAGGGCGGCGCAGGAGGGCATGGGTCAGGGCCCGAGGTGGCGCCGAGATTTCACATGTCGGTTATCTTGGGCCGTCTCGATTCGGTGGATGGCCCCCTTGGTGCCTCGTCAATTTATGATGAACCTCTCGTGGCAGTCGAGAGATCCTTAGATAGGCGCAGAACGAGGCAAGGAGCGGGACAATGAGAGAGAGAGAGAGAGAGAGAGAGAGAGAGACAGAGACAGAGAGAGAGAGAGATAGAGAGAGAGGAATACGGATATATACATATATAGAGGGGCTGCCCTGCACCACCAGGGCCAGAAGCGAGAAAAAAGGGGAGAGCAGCGCAAGGCAGTATGTCTGCATTTTTTCTGGCCCTAAGAGTCCTTAGGGCCAGAAAAAAAAGGGGGGGAGAGAGAGAGAGAGAGAAGAGTAAACAGAGTAGGACACGTTACGACTCTGGAGTCAGCCATTTTGGCTTCGTCTTTCTTGCCAAGGCTTGGCGCTCTGTGCGCGCCCGCGCGTATATCGACTCAGTGCGCAGGCGCCCAGGCGCGCGGGAATGGGCGGCGACGCCCATTCGGAGGCCAAAGATCTGGCCTTGCTCAAAGGCCAGGTTCTCTCGCGGAGAGGGCGGTCAAGTCGCGGTTCAGCCCGCGGCGGGGACCTCGAAGATGCGGAACCCTTGTCGGCGTCAGTGGCGCCAGCGCCTGCGGAGTTGAAGCCAGGCCACGTCAAGTGCATGCTCTGCTTGCACCGCGACGACGACTGGGACCCAGTGGACCTCGAGGTCAGGAAGGAGAAGGTGTATATGATGTGGGGCAAACCTGCGAAGGATGGCGTTACGCAGGGCGTGTACTGCTTCTACTGCGTCAAGATCTTCTGCGCGAAGTTCAGGCAGGTCGGCTCGTACACGATCGCCAAGTACGCCGCCGACCTCGGCAAGTCCGAGAAGCGCATGAAGATGCACATGGCCATGGTGGACGAGACGGTCAAGTCCATCATTCAGAAGGGCGGGAGCCGCCGCGTCCACTTGAATTGGGAAGACATCGAGGCGAACCCAGCAGGGTTTGGACGGAACGGAGCGAACGGCTTCGAGCTCACATAAGGCAAAGGTTGCGGCATGGCCATTTGGGCCGTCAGCCATCGGGTCCGCCAGCTGCCTTTGTGATCGGCGTGGGCTTCCCAGTCGTTCGATTCGTTGCGTCCGAGAAGTAGCGCCGACACATTTGTTCCTCTGGGATCGCGCGGATGCCGCGGCGGCTTTGCTTGTGGCAGCGCTGTCTTGATCACTTTGTGGGCGGCGCCGCCGCGGCATCTCGCCGACTTCGGAAGCGGCAAATGGTCAGCGCGTAACGAGCGGGTCGAGGCTAAGGCTGAGCTCTTCATTGTGCAGTCCCTCAAGACAGTGACCAAGAAGCCTGGGTATTCCATCTATGAGCGTTTGGAAGATTATGAGGAGGACCACGGCGATTTCGAGACCAACGGCAAGAAGAGGCTCGGCCACTACAAGGACACCAGGAACGGCAAGGACGTGTGGATCGTGCCCGACAGGAGGATAACGAGGGTGGAGTTCAACGAGGAGAGCGGGGTCGAAAAGCGTTTGAAGGCTGGCAGTGCCGACGACGACGTGGCCCCGGGCTTCCTGGACTTGCGCCAGCGCCACATCGCCGATGCTATGGTCACAGGTTTTCGCGGCAACTTCGTGGAGGGGCACGCGATTGACGCCTTGCTCGGCGTGCCAGATGAAAGCGGGACACCGTCGCCTGCGCCGAGGGTGTCTCCCCGGGCGGACGCCCCAGAAGACCAGCTTGCGGCGGGCCAAGATTCTGCCCCCGCGCGCGGCGGCGGTCGCAAGCGAGCAGCCGCTGGGGGCCAAGGTGCGCCTGCTGGAGCCCCTTCCAGCGGCGGCGGCGCGGAGCCCGCGGCCAAGGCCGCCAAGACCAAATCTGCGGCCAGCGGTGGCAAGCGAGGGCGTCCGAACAAGGATTGGAGCGCGGCCATCGAGCAGGTCAAGGTTGCCTTCCACGAGTCGACAGCGGCCGATGCTGCATGGTGGGGCTCCGAGGCCAAGACTCAGCTGAAGGCCTTGCGAGCAGATGAGAAGAGCATCCAATCCCGCTTGCAGAGGGCCACGGAGATGGGTGAGATCAACGCCCTTCATATTGCCCTCAAAACGCTCAATGGCATCATCAGCCTGGTCGACGCCGCTGACCAGCACGGACTAGACTCGGAGGGCTTCAAGAAAGAGTACGACACCATCATGACGACCATCTCTTTGGAACCGAAGGTGGACTTGCCCATCCCGAACCACGTCCTACAGGCGAGGCATCTGTTGGACGTTCGCGCCACTGAGGACAGTGGCCGCTGGCTTGAACGCGTGAGCTCAACGGAGCTCAGGAGCAAGGGCGTGAGCAACGTTGCCGCCGCGCAGGAGGCGCTGCTCGCTGAAAGGTTCGCCTCTTTGCTGAAGGGAAAGGACATCAAGATTGTGAAGCAGAACCTGGTCGGCTTATTTCGCACAGAGTTTGAATACGACCTCGAGGAGGAGTCTTTGAACTTCGTCTTGGCGTTCTCGGTGGTGCTGGGGTACGCTACTTATCCTGAGCTCGACGACCGCGTCGAACTACTCACGGATGCAGTCGAGACCATCAACGCAGCGATGCCGTCAAAGACTTCCAAGGGCACCACGCTTGGCTCTACTTTATTTCCGTGGCCAGTGGGATCCACCATCTTCCGCAACGCCACGACCTATTTGAACAAGGCCAAGGTGACGCAGCGATCGTTGTCGGGCTTCATGCAGCATCTCGCCAGATTCACAGCGGCCGTCGACGCAGTGAACGTTCCCATCACAGAAGAGCCAGACATGGGCCAGAGCATCTTGGAGGCGATGGCCGCCTTGCGTGCGAGTTGGGACACCGATGTGCCACTTTGCTTGTCTGACTTCGCCCCATCGGCCTTCCTGGGCGTCTATCTCCAGTCCGACTTCGGTGTTCCTCGATGTTGTGTCCTCGGGTTGGAAGACGATTCTCGAACCCATTATCACAGCAGCGGCAGACGCGACTGCTTTGGCTCGGTGGGCTGACGCGTCGTCCAAGGCCCGCGACGAGATGGTGAAGCATTCCCGTGCCACTGAAGCTAACAACATGTTATTTGCGGCTGGACCAAAGACTGACAATGTCAAGCAGCTGTGGCATGTCAGCGATTGGCTGGTGCAGTGCAACGCCTACCTTCAGAAGTCCTCCCCGATGACCTTCGAGACTTGCATTGGCTTCGAGAAAGATTTCCAGACCTTCGTGAAGCCCCTCGGCGAGATGATCGATGGTTGGGGCCAGTCTTGCTTCGAGGAGTTCTGCAAGTCACCCTTGATCCACCCGGAGAGCGGCGTCTTCGCGGAGGTCATCAAATGCGTGCATGGCGATGGCGAGAAAGTGCTGAAGCCTTTCAAGGAGGGGGTTGTTGCCGCATTGGCGTTGGCGGGCGGGACATCCCCTTCGGTGGTCCAGACGTCCGACGACAATCTCAAGTCCTTGATGGCATTGCCTCCTGTCGACGAGGCAGGCTTGACGGCGGCTGTCAAGTGGGCCCAGGGCGTCGCGGATGATTTGCTGGTGCAGGAGATCCACTACCTGTACGCCGTCTACCGCCTTGTCGCCGCCCTCGCGCTCGCCGTGGATGCGTGCCGCTCGAAGTTGAGCTCTCAGTCGATCACAGTTCGGAAGATATCCCAAGCGCAGGTTGACATCGTGAAGGATTGCAGGCACCGCTTCGCAGTTTTCAAAGAGTTCGAGGAGCGCCATGGCACGGTCACCCTGTTCCCCACGGACGCGGATTGCGGCGGCCACCACCTCGCCTTCTTGCGGGGCATCGTCGATCGGCAGGCGGCGAGGGCGTCGCTCACCGATGACATGGGCATCACCATGAAGACGTTCACGGATTCGTGGTCGGCAGACATCGAGACGTTGTGCGACGAGGTGGGGAAGGCATGCCCGAATTGGGGCTTGAAAAAGG